AATGATACTATCTTCTGAAAAAATTCTCAAACTTTCATAATGAACTAAATTTAATAAGTTACCTAGTAGCAATAATGTACTTTAAACAATTTTAATTAATTTTCATGTGCTTATATAAAAATTATGAGGATTTAAAATTCTCACATTTGTCAAAAAAGGTAAATGTAAAATGCTATGTACAGTTCTGCCGATGGATTATGCGAAAATGAGTGAATATGGTGAGGTAACTGAGAACTTTACCCACTTTTAACATGCCATGATAATTATTTCTACCTAATCTACATTGTCATGCTCTTTAAAATACTTTTTTTAGTATTCCAGTTACCTGAATCCATCACTACAATCTCAAGGTTATGAAAGCAAGCATTAAATTAAATTAAGTCATAATTTAAGATAACCTATGCTGGTGCAAAGCATATGCAATTCAATTAACACTCAAACTGGTCGATGAAATAAATCATGTCTATACCTTCATCTTCACTTTCACAAATTGTGAAAAATTATAATACAAATACAACATATTTACCAAAAGAAATAATTGTATTTTCCTAAACATAATAGGTCTTAGAAATGCATGTGTTGTTTCAAGTACCTTAACTCGGCCAAAATATTTTTAATGATATTTATATGGCAATGAATAATTGCAACATCTTTACTTTTTATAAAAATCACTAATTCTAGACACTACAATGAATTAAAAACCACATATGTGTACAGTATACTGCAAAAAATAACTTCCTTCAGGCATTACTTCAAGGAACTATGTTATTAAAGTTATGCATTAGTGAACTATGTAGAAAGGTAACCAACCTACTTTAAAAGCGCAAATTTGGCTAAAAATTTCAATTTCGTTTTATTTAACATTTTTAAAACACACATTCTTTGCTATCAAAAACAATTTTTCTTTTCTCGATATGTTGATTAGAAGTGAAGATAGACCAGTTTTCCTGACAGACGACAAACCGGAAGTCGAAGTTTAAAGGACAAATTAAAGCTTTTTGCTTTTTTAATTAAAAAATTTTATGCATTTTAATGTGTCTGGAAAATTGGGCAAAATATTTTTACTATGTAATTTCTCATTATCATTTGGCAATCTCAAAAGTTGTATAGATAAGTCACGTAATGTTAATCTGAAAACATTAAATGGTTTCCTTCAATAGTGTACATAGTTAAAAAAAAGTTTTGTGTTGACTATACTAGTGAATTAATATTTTCCAACTATTCTAATTTACTGTAAGCTTATGGTTAATATATATATATTACCATAAAGTCAAAATTATGATTTTATCATCAGTGACGGTTGATGTTGATTAAGATGTTGGTTGATGTTTTGCAGAAATTTCAAAAAATAATGTATTTTTCTCAATTTTGTAGTGATTATATTTAAGTGTATTCCAATAAAAAATTCAGAAATATAACAAACATTTTGTTAAAAGTCCTTCAAACGAAGTCCATTGCCCTCCTTCTGCATTATTTAAATAACATACCTACCACAACCTTGAAATCTTAAAAGACAGGTTTTCACACCACTCGGCGACATTTCATTGGAACTCCAAAATCACTTTATAATACACTATTCAAGTTAAAGAACTATTTGTAATTCAATTCTGATACAAAATATATTCCCATTTAATTGAATTTTCTAAATTTTATGTTCTTTGGGTAATTTTATTTTTTAATTTCTTGCATTTTGACATGGAGAAAGTTCGAAGCGAAAACTTTTATAAATTAATTTTAAATATAATGAAAAATAAATTAATAGTATAATGTACAACTTAGGTATTTCCCAGCTAGTTGTGGTATTAACTTAGGGAGGCGATAAAGGTTTTACCTGGGGACTTTGGTAATAATGTGAGCAGTACTCAGTTCCGATTACGCATTATTTGGGATTTGGGGGGGAAAATGAGAGAGATCATGGGATATGTCATGTGATATGGACGAATTAACGGTTCTTTATCGGAAAAAAAAGGGGGGGGGAATTTGGACAAGTATCTGTGGATGTATATTATTTTGTATTAAGCTTTTTTGTGGTGTTGTTGTGTGTAGGGTTTGTAATGTTGGGATTTTATTGGCGTTGTCTAAAGTGAATGTGGTGTGGATAAAGAGAATTTTTCTTTTATTAAATTCTATCAAATTCGAAAAAAAAAAATCGTTCAGTAATTTTATTGAATCCATAATAAAAGTGTATCCAACCATGTAAGGAAGATTCGGAAGAAGATTAGGTTTTCTTAGACTTTGTTAAAGATGTGAGTAGTATCAGTTCTGATTACGGCATTATTTTGTGTGAGGGAAATGAAGATCATGGGATATGTCATGTGATATTAATGGACGATCTGTTCTTTAATCGGGAAAAAATCTGGAAATTTGTATTTGGCTTATTGTGTGTTGTGTGAAATAAGGTTTGTGAATTTTGGATCCCATGGCCGTAAAACTAAGTGAATTCGAAATGGGTATTTAGTGGTATGAAAAAAGGATAGTAATAAGTGTTTTTTAAGGTTGTGCGAGAGAGAATAAAGATGTTTTATTATGTTATTTATTTATTTTACCTGGTATCTTGCTTTGAAAGATAAGTATGATTTTTAAAGATTTCTGAAACAGAAGGAAGAAAAGTGTATCCGCCACGTAATCAAGATTCTGAAGAAGATTAGGTAAGTTAGTTAGTTATTTTTTATATTTGAGGATATTATTTTATGCATTGTTTATAAATGTAAGGTGGAAAGGAATTTGGTATTATTGGGAAAATTGTTATTAGCAATGATTTAGTTTAAAGTAAGTAATAGGATTGTAAGGTAATTTTTTATTAATTTAATGTATGTGCTCATTTATATTTTAAAGTAGTGGTTTTTGAATTTAATTTATATTTTAATGAAATAATAGTTATTTTGTGAATTTTATGTTTGTAGGAATTTGGTATACGTTTAAGTTGAAATAAACGTGCATGGAAATAATTTAAATATTTGATATTAAGTATTTTGTAATGCTTGCGGTATGAATTCGTTGGTGACGTGTATAATGTTAATAGATGATTTAGAGGTAAAAGTTTTGGGCAGTTTTTTTTTTTTTGGATATTCCATTTATTTTATATGTGGAAAAATGTTGATATTTGTAAAGGGTAAAATACTTTTTCGCGATCATGTTAATTTCATATATGTTCTTTTTACCGTTTAAAAAGATTGAGAAAATTGTCATGTATTTTCGTGTGAAATTTTTTTAATTTATGAGAAAAAAGCAGTGTACATGGATATAGTGAAGAGTGTGCGCAATGCCATTTTTGTGCAATTCTGGGATTTTTTTTTAAGTAAAAATAAGTCGACGTGTACATGGTTTAGTCATATTTTAATTAATGATAATGATTTTGTGAATTTTATGTTTTGTAGGAATTTGGTATACGTTTTAGTTGAAGTAAACGTGCATGGAAAATAATTTAAATATTTGATATTAAGTATTTAATGCTTGCGGTATGAATTCGTTGGTGACGTGTATAATGTAATAGATGATTTAGAGGTAAAAGTTTTTGGATATTTTATTTTATTTTTTTATGTGGAAAATGTTCATATTTGTAAAGGGTAAATACTTTTTCGCGATTTCATATCAGGTAATTTCATATACGTTCTTTTTACCGGGTTTTAAAAGATTGAGAAAAAATTGTCATGTATTTTCGTGAAATTTTGTAATTTATAGAAAAAAAAGCAGTGTACATGGATATAGTGAAGAGTTGTGAGCAATGCCATTTTTGTGCAATTCTGGGATGTTTTTTTGTAAAAATAATTCGGCGTGTACATGGTTTATGTGTATGTGTTATTTTGAAAAATGCATAAGGAGGATGGTATTGTGTGCAGGTTTTTCCTAATTTTGCAGTGATATTTGTCATGATTAAGCAGTTTTGTTTGATAAAATTTCTAGCATAAGTGTAATTCGGCTAGTAGAGATTGTTGGAAGAAGTGTTCAGGAGATAAAAAAGAAAAAGAAAACATGTCTTTACTTCGTGAAGACAAAATGGCGGTGGGGAAAAAAAAAAAAAAAAAAAAAAAAAAAAAAAAAAAAAAAGAAAAAAAAAAAAAAAAAAAATAGAGGGTTGCTGTAGGAAAGTTAGTTGCCAAAAAATCGCCAAGTTACCATAAAGTAAAGATCAACCCAGTTTTCTTGCTTCAAAATGTGTTTAAAATCAAACTGCGTTTTATGGGCTGACCATATAATTTCATCTTTTAAGACACTACCTGATTCGACAGGATAATTACTGTTACGTGTTTTTCTCACACCAGGCATAGAAAATGGTTGCCTTTATTACAAATATAGTTAATAGCACTGTACTCAGCCAGCTGAGAGCAAAAGAGTTTTAGTATTTCCTAAAAAATTTCCCAAATAAATCCTATATGCATACAATGTAATGTATATATGTTATAGTACGTAGCGTAATGTAGTTTAGTTTCATGTCACGTTAGACCATGGGCCATGACGCAGAAAGTAGCTTTAGAACAACTTTCATAGTGCTCATTTAACACAGAACTGCTTTTAGAAGCATTATTTTTACCAAATAGATAAAATTATAAATAATTCTCATTTAGTAGTGTGCAGATTAAATGTAAATTTACAAAAAATAATTAGAATTACTTCTTGCATGAAATCACATTGCACCAGTAACATGACATTGCAAAACCACAACAATCACGTGAGTGGTATGGAAGGAATTTCGTTTTCAAAGCCATCCAACTTTTTGCACCTTTCTGTGCTGTTACTTATTTTAGCCCAATTTACATTTGGAAACTGTAATGTTCTTAGTCATTATTAATTTTTAAAATGCAAGCAACAATTCATGGGAGCTGCCATGTCTACATAACTTAACATTTATTTGTTTACATTGTGTTTGAATTGTACCAGAAGCTATATGAGAATTATTGAAAAAAAAATATATTTGTCAGATTCTCGCATCAAAATTTCATAAATTCGAAGATTCTTATACACAAAGTAATGATACTGATACAAAGAATAACATCATCATATTCATGACACAAAAGCCTTACTTTTTATTGCTCAACACACTGTACTTATTTTGCGCAATCTATATACAAGATAACAGTACACCCCAGATACCTAAAAATAATCCATTTTAAACTACTTCTTTCTTTACAGCCTTTCAATTCTATGATTAAATATGCTACTCAAATGCACAACTTCTTCGAATATAAATTTTATATTAAATTCACTCAATACTTAAGAATCGCATTTTCACTGCCTTACATAACATTAGTTTTCTTAAACTTTTCTTACACACAGAAACATTAGTTTTCTTAAACTGCCACATTGAAAATCAATTAGCTGTCCAATATTTACGCTGCAGTTTTCAGAATATTAAGAGCACAAAAGGCAAACAAAGAAAAATTTCAGCAAAATTAAAAAAAAATTTTTTTTTAAAGTTGTGAAATTCTAAAGCTATATACATACATATATAATAAAAAACACAGAGGGAGGGAAAAGAAGATAAGGCAAATAATTTCTCAATCAAATGTTTTCATTCGATTTACTCTCTTTACTAAGCTCCAATTTAAAAATACAGATTAAATGAGATCAACTATTCACAATTGCATTTTTTCTGAATGTAAATGGAAAACATAAGACAGTTAAGGCAAAAAGTTATAGAAGAAAAAGAATTACTCCCAACAAGAACACTGATTTTGCAAATGTTTATAATACACTGAAAATTCAAGACTTAAACATTTCTTTCAATTCAAAAATTTCAATTACAGTTCTCATCACATATATTAACACGCATGCTTTTGCTGTAGTTTAAGTTGATGCAATTTTATCCAGTATAAATATTAAAATAATATTTGCATTTTAATTGCTTAATGGTCATTTCTCTAAAATGAATATGAAATTATATTGTTTAATATTAAAACTAGCCATATTTTTTAATAATTCAGTAATAGTCTACGATTTTTGGCAACCTTCGATATTTCACAATATAACTACTCAAATCAATAATATTTTGCAAATAAATTCTATATCTGAACAAAAATATCAAAACTGAGATATAAAGAATAAATTAAGTATTACAGCAAACATTTCTCATATATAAACATGAATCAAATCGTTATTGGAACAATTTATTCTAGCCAAACTAGGCAAAATGGAAATCAACTTTTCACTTGATTTTTGGAGATGTGGTGTCCAATTCCTGCTACTCCTCTTAAGTTTTGCTCAAAAATTTTATCTCGAGCAGTTCCAGGTTTTAAATCAAATAAATATGGTAATAAAATTACAGATATACATTAAACATTCAAAATTTATACCTGTAAAAAAATTATCAAACTCATACCATGAAAAATTAAGCATATTTTAAAACAAAGCATTCACTTTCGAAAACAGAAAAATTGTGTTTAGTTTTAAATAAGTACTCGTCAGTCTGAATTATATTTCACTTTTGATATAAAAAAAACTGCAACATCAGTTTTGAAAATCAGACAGATGAAATGGCAAAAAAACTGTTTTAAACAATAAAATATGTTACATTAAATGGTAGAAAAGTCACCTCACTTTTTCCTGCAAGGCATTAAAAAATAAATCTATCCAGAACGCTCTTGATCATGAGACTAAAATATTGTATGATGGATTGCTACGAGCAATATTCATCGAATAGCCAGTAGCTGATGCACAAGAAGCAATGACCAACAACACAGTTAAATGGCCTGTTCATTAGAACTAGAAGATTCTAGTTCCATAGAGTTTTCAGAAGACTCACTAGTTGAGATATTTTGTGATACTTCCGAGTCAACTTCATTGTCGGCACCTTGACTAGTATTTGAATTTACTTCGTCGCTTTGAGATATCTTGGTTACATCATGAGAACTGTCATCACTTTGGGAAACTGTGTCATCTTGTTGGCACTGGCTAGACATGTTAGCTTCTTTATCAGAATTTGCAGTGCAAGAACCTGAGGATCCTGCATTTTTTTCTTTTTCATTCTTGTCATCTGTGCTAATTGATGAAGAAGACTCCTCTGATTGTACGTCGTTATTTGGCTGTTTATCTTCTGCTGGTGGAAATTCATTCTCGATATTTGAATTTTCAGAAGATACCACTACACCAGATGTTACTTCCTCATTTATTGCAGATGTGGTCTGCATTTCTTCACTAGAAGCTTCCATTGCTTCTTCTTTAGCTTCAATATTTTCTTTCCCAGCCTGCTCAGCTTGCATACTATTTTCAAACTCAACTTCTTGAGTTTCAACACATTCTGAGTTAGCCATAAAATTATTATCAATTTCCCTATTAATGCAAATATTTGATGCTGATGGAATACATGCTGCAGACGGAAATACATTTGCAAAGTTTTCTAGTAATACATGGCAAGGAGGAGTATTTATGTTCGACGACGACACATTATCAGAATTCTCGTGGCCATTAAAGCAATCATTATCATCCCGAGGAGAATCACTTATCATTCCATTCACGACTGGATTCAGATTTGCATTATTTCCATCACCCTGGACACCTACCCGAGGTTCTATAGTGCTAACCACTAAAACATTCTTTTCTATGCCTCTCATGTATTTATCAGTACGATTATAATGTTTCTTGGGGTTCGTTACTAGTTCACACAGTCTTTGAATTGTAAAAGGCGCGCTCGTAAACGAATCAACTGCCTGAAGTATACTTTTCTTTAAATTATCAAAATTAAATGTTTCAAAATTTGGCACAGGTAATGATACTTCTGCTGGGCATGTTTCATAAAATTCATCAAGCACCAGTTCAAGTTTCCTCTTCAATAAGGGTTTTAGTTTGCACCACGGAAATATTATTTCCCCATTCTGTGCAATTCGTTGTAAATATTCTTCCAATATCGGAGGTATTTCAACGGGCTTTCTCTCGAAGTCATTCAATGCATCTAAAATGCTTTCTGCATTCAATTCCATTGTAAGACGAAAAGCACACTTTTTCAAAATCCAAGCTAAACTTCAATGACGTTTGTTGTAAAAAAAAACTTCGATCGATAGAAATGAAAGTTACAGTTACGATTATATTAATAGGAAACGATCACTGAAAGTCCTGCGTTTCGATTTTGGCAATAAATTCAGGTATCATTTTTCAACAACACATTTCCGCTATTGACATATCAAATTAAAATATAAGCAAAACTTCAGAAACAGCACTCATTTAATAATTATGAATCAATTCTTTGCAACATCTCGTAATCAAAGCCAGCTCAGCCAGAAAGGACCAAGACGCCGAGCTCACTCTCTTTTTCCCCATGAAGCTATGACGTTGCATTGACGCTTCTGTAGTGAGAAAGAGGATTGGCTGTTAGCCCACGCGTTGCGTCTACTACGTCATAGTTGCCCAACCTATTTCTGGAATAGGGCGAGGTCATAAGCTCAGAGGGGGAAAATTGTTTCAAGAAGAGTGATCGCGAAGATGTATCACAAACGAAAGAGTTTGTTTATAATTTACTGTGTAATTTTAAAATTGAGGAAAATGTGGTTAGGAAGATGCTCTCTGAATGAAAAGTGTAATTAGGTAATTATGATTAAAAAACAATTTTTTGACGCTAAATTTCTTACATGATACCAAATTTAAATTTCCCAATACTGCTTCGACTCATTGTATTATGTATGCCAAGAGCATCAATTTCTACATTAAGAGGGAAAATCTATAAGAAAAAATAAAAGGCCTTTCGGCAGTTCCGTTATGAAAGAAACCTAAGCAAAACATCGAAATTTATTATGAAATTCTCACTTGCTATACATTGCCACATTCGTAAGGCTGCACTGATGCATAAAAAACATTTTTGCATGTCATCTAAGCAAAAAAATATACACATTGTTCATATTGTTGCGTGCGTACGGGTTCGTAAGAGATTGAAAAACAATGCACAAGTCTCATGAAAATTTAATAATATTTATTCTTATTACAAGAAATAAAACAAAATGCTGAAATTTTTCCTCACAGATATTCATAAAATATCACAATATAACCCAACAGTTATATTTTAAAGTACCAAAACGTTAAATAGAACACAATTCAAAGTGCAGAGAAAGCTAATCCGATCTCGAAATTTACTGCAGCTAAGTAAACAACAAAGCTCACTAAGACAACTGAAATGAGATGTTTTTCTCCGGCTTTTTAAAGATTTTTAATCATGCACGAGAACATTCTGGTAAGTATTATTTTCTCGAGGTTTCTGGAAAGCAAAAGAGAAGACTTGCAGTTACAGCTAACACACAATTGCATTTATTCAATTTAAATATAAATTACCAGATATCTATTTATTAAATGAGCCTTCTCCTGTACTTTTACATTTTCGGATTAAGTTTCTCTTGAGACTCGTTACGCGCTGCATTGCTCGGGGAATTAAAACAATTTTAATTACAATTCTACTAAAAACAGCTAAATAAATACACTGCGCTCCCTTTACAAAGACTGCACATCCTGGGCAGTACAATAATTGCAATAAGTAACTTAAAACAAATCAAACTCTAAATACAAATCTAATCAAATACAGCCCACCAGCGGCCGAGCGGTAAAATCTCTGAACACTGGTAGTTCGGTCCGAGTTTCGAATCCCGCGAACGGGCTGGCTGCATGGGCGTTTTCGTGGTTTTCCCCATGTGTAACGTGTATACGAGCCAGTTTCCCTTAGAAAGTCCTCCACGAAGGCATCCCTCCTCTTAGGCAGATAGCCCTCGAGGCTTTGCCATAATCACACACACACTAATCAAATACAAATTTAGAAACAAAAAGGATCATGGTCTTATACTATTTATAATTATACACATTACGTACTATGGCCACAGTAAGGAGCTAACCTGTCGTAATCCCCGACTTTAGGCTAAGAGTTCAATGACTTACGGATCCGAACCACGACGTCTTTTAGTCTGTTTAGGACTGTATATGGACCATCCCAAGGTGACTGTAATTTCACACAGACTCCTTTTCAAAGCTACACTTTTCAGTTAAATTTTTTTCCATACTCTCATACTCTTTCTAGAATTCTCACTATTCTCCTTAGTGGAGCTTTAATCGTTTTATCTTTTTTTCCTTGGTGTGTTGCAAAAAAAGACTGATACTTGTCATCCCTTGGAATAATACATTTCATGTATAATCAGGGCTTAAAACTCAGACGGAGATTGGCTGAGCTGCTTCTTAGCATGTATTCCGGACAGTGCCTCAAATAAGACGAGGTCCGATACATTGTTTTTCTATTTAACTAGTAAAAATTAATTTAATAATTTATTAAATTTCTCTTTATCTTTACATTTTTTATTTAATTAATTAAATTAGTTATTTGATCAAAATAATTAATATTAATTTAAATTTATTATTTAAGTATTAGCTATTTTAATTATTTTTTTTTCTTTCCTTCCTCACAGTCTTCCATAGGGCTCCGGCACTTCTAATTTTAGAAATTAAGCCCTGGTATATAGCATGGAACAATAAGTCCTCAAGAGTTAATGGGAACGGAAGAGGGGTAGATGATCTTTGGATCTATCTATTTTTTTGGAGAAGGAAAGATGAAAAATATGCAAAGCCTTCCCCGAGAATCGAACCACGAACATCTCAATTACGTGCTGAGCGTGCAGACCACCACACCACGAAGACATGCCAAGAAGCTGGGAGAAATACCTTTTAAAGGGCAACTGGGGTTTTTAGGCAATCCAATCGCCAAATCCTGGCTGAGGAGAATCCTCATATAACACCCTTTTAGTTCAGGCGCCACTGTAGAAACATTAGGTATTTTTTGAAAGCAGGAGAAATGAAAAATTTGCAACGCCTTCGCCGGGAATCGAACCACGGACCTCAAAATTACGCGTTGAGCGTGGAGACTACCACACCACGAAGGCATGCAAATAAGGCGAGAGAAATACCTTATACAGTAGAAATGCTCTCGAAGTCTCTGCAAGGTCTTCATTTTTCTGAAGTGATCTCCTGTACGGCTGCTATGTACGAGAAGCTCTTTAAGGACATCAGAAATCCGGGATCCTGATGAGGTGTCTTTTGGACTAGAGCAGCTCTGATTGGGTTGCGGTCTCTACAAGTGGCTTGCTGGGCTGCCTTGAATTTCATGGCGTGCATTAGAGTGCTTTTCAAGTCCTTGACATTCTCAGAACTTTCTATATTTCCGGATCCCAGATGCTGTCGATGAAGTATTGGAGGGACGGAATTTCTCTTGTTTCTGTCGGGCACTCCGAAAAGGCGAGGTGAGATAGCCTTTCAACATCCGTATCGAGCTCCTGGAGTGTTTCGGTGGGCTTCTGTTAATGGGATTTTAATTGAAGCTTGCTGCAGTCTTTCAAATGTTTCTCCCCAAAGCGCAGTTCCAATGCGCCGGAATGAGCTTCAAAATCTAGGCTTTGGTTTTCGGGAAGAGTCTGAAGGATATCCGCTGCGTCTGCTCTCAAAGAAGCGGCGATGTGACAGGCCTTAGCTTGGGAATCCCATCCATTTGCATCCGCCACTACAGAAAACTGTGTCTTATACACTTGCCAGGTCTTCCCATCATATGTGGATAGCTTCAGAGAGATACGAGCAGGCATGGGTAGAAATTTTAAACCTTCAGAATTGTTTCTTGCTGTCGTTATGAAACTTCTTTAAGGTGTCAACTTCTTTGGCGACGGCAGCAGAAACCCTATCATCAATTTGTTGTTGGACGGCAGACACTCTTTCTGCGATTCGTTGCTCCACAGCAGAAATTGTTTCTTCTATTTGTTCTTTTCCAGAATAAACACTTTCTTGAATATATCCAACTTTATTTTAACTACGTCAATTCAATATAAATTATATTACATATAAAAAAGTTGAAAATTTTCAAATTACGATGATATATATCATTGAAGTCTCCAAGTACGCTAAAAAAGTAATTAAGTAATCGAGAAATAATAATTTAATCAAAATTAGATGATGAAAGGATGGCAATATTCTGTCAGAAAATCCATATATCAAAATCAAAACAAAAATTTCAAAATAGAAAAGTACATTGTAATTAATCAAATTGATATGAAATGAAAGAAAAAGTTGGTTAAACCAAAGTAAAATATAAAACGAACTTTTTAAAATTCCTCAGCCCTTTTCAGGAAGCTGCGGAAGAATTTTTCAAAACCACTTTTCTGAATTATATCTAGATTAATGTTCATAGTGGAAGCAATTTAGAATCAAAATTTTGAAGAAACGCCAAATATGAACAAGCAAATAACGTTTATTTTAAACTCACAATACAAAATTCGTGCGCTTTATTTATGCTTCTTGATTGGGCGCTGAGAGCCAGATTCGAGTCAAGAATGCCTTTAAGTAGCTGTCAAGAGTTTATTTAATTTGAACGAGGTTATGTAATTGGCCTATGAGAAGATGAGATTTTTTTCCCGATATTGTAGAAAGAAAGAAATGTATTCACTGTGCTTGCGTGCTGGAAGCAGGTATTACTAATGATATTGTCTCAAGAAGGACACAGGTTGGAAGCAAACATTTGCGGCGCATCTTTCTCCAGTTGCAGCAGACATTTGACGTTTTCCTGGCACCAGAGTGACAAATCGAACTGTGACAAATCGATTACTTCAGGAACAACTCATAGCCCTGTAGTGGCCAGACAACTAATTTCAAATCACCGTCATCTGTGACTTCGGTAATGTCAAGCTAGAGCTCACTGCAGAACGGAGTGCGAAATCTGTTGTGATCTTAGATGACAGCGTTTTTTGTTTTGGTGCTAGTGATGTCAGTATGTGGAGGCTAGGTTAGAGCTTGGAACCAATTGCTCCACCGCCCATAACTCCTCGCGTAGACATATTGAACTTACGTCAGGAATTATAGTCAGGGGAGCAATTTCCCTTGGCAGAAGCCCTTTTATCGTTATCCCAAACATTTTGACAGTAAATTTGTACGTCGATTGCACCGGCTGTGTTGCTTTCTTGAGCAATATTCCAAGGGGCATATTCCAGCAGGGTAACAGTAGATTTCATACTTCTGCTATCAGCGAACGTGCTCTAGTGTTGATATGTTGCTTTAGCCTGCGAGGTCATTCGATCTCTCTTTCGTCTAGCACGTGTTGGACATTATTGGACTACAAATCCAGTGTCATCCACAACCAGCACTGTCTGTTGCTGATTTCACTGACCATGCGCAATAGGCATAGAACTCCATCCCACAAAATGACATATGGCACCTGTGCGACAGAATACATGAGCGTTTGCACGCTTTCATTCAACATCG